CGAGAGCAAAGGAGATGGGAAGGATCACCCCCATCCACCTGCTGGTCACGCCCCTTTTGATGCAGCCCAGGATACGGTTGGCTTTCTTGGCTACGAGCGCACACTGAAGGTGGCCCATGTTCATTTTCTCATTGACCAACACCCCCAAGTCCTTCTCTGCAGGGCTGCTCTGAATCTTTTCTCTGCCCAACCTAAACTTCCCCTGTTTAAATTTTAACCCATTACCCCTTGTCCTATCACTACAGTCCCTAACGAAGAGTCCCTCCCCAACGTCCCTCTATGCCCCCTTCAGATACTGGAAGGCTGCTGCTATGAGTTCTGCACGTAGCCTTCTCTTCTCCAGGCTGAACAGCCCCATCTTTCTCATCCTCTCTTCATACTCGTTACTGGTCTCCAGCTGTACACTGAGCCTTTGACCACAACTCTTTGTGTACAGCAGTAATATCCTTCCTTCGGTTGAATTTAAAGTTATATCAATTTTTTGTTACTCAAAAAAGAACTTGAACTTCAATAAAAGTTATTCATAGTTATACCTTTCTAGAACATCCAGTGATACAGCCATAAGGTCAGCTGAAATAAATGGCTTTTCTTATTACTACAGCATAAGGTCCAAGCTACTACAGTCTTGCAAGTGTATCATACCAACATCAATTTCTGACATCAAAAAAGTTAAATACCTGATGTTTCTGCTATTAGTTGGCCCTTTAATAAGGGGGCTTTTTTATGTATAGATACATATTGAATGTTAGAAATGCACCCTGGTTCTGTTGTCCCTCAAAGTCTGGCCTTATTTTGTCTTAGAAATTTACAGTACCATGAAAGTTCTTCAATTTTAAACCACAGAAATTAGAGGGACAGAGATCAATTGTACAGAAAAGGGAAATATAAGTTGAGATATGCCAGCCTGCAATCAAATTTACTGTAAGAACATTACCACACAAATTGAACTATTTCAGGAATAGGCTAAAATGATACGAGGTATTTCCCATTTGAGGATATTTGCAGATTGAGGCAAGCATATGCAAATTTCTTCATCTTGTACGACTCATGATTACACGATAAAAATGATTTCCTCCTGGAGTCACATGTTTTGAAAGCATAAATATCCAGAAACTGTCAAAATATAATCTGTCAATCTTAATTTGAAATTTAATAAATCAGACTCTAAAAGATGATAAGCAAAATCCCTTTGTAGTAAAAAAAAAAAAAAAAAAAAAACTGAAGCAAAAAGTACTAAAATTACTTTTAGTAAAAAAAAGATAATATACAAGAATAAAATTTTTGCCCAGGTATTTGCAAGAATTTAACAGGTTTTTGCTGAATAAACTTAACCTTTTCTAGCAAAAAATCTTTATGGGAATACAGTGGATTTACAGTATTTCACTACCTGACAGCTTGCACTTCAAAAACTTCCAGTTGCATGCATTTTATCTGAATATGGGCTGTCAAAATTAATAAAACCTAAATGGGTCAGAGATGCAGATCAAAACAACTATCAAAAAGCAAACAAACAGCAACTAAAAAAATTAATTTCTTTCAGAGGTTTATCTAACTCCTATCAAAACACGAGTCAGTGTATATGCTGATTTAAGGAGGGAGGCATCACTTTCTCTGTCCGTGGAAGTCTCATCCAGGTTACAACAATATAGACATTGCCTTCATTTCTCCAGTGGCAATGGGTTTATTGTTTGGATTAGTTTGGCTGCAAGGGCAAAGAATTATTTTTGCCCTCAAAATCTCTAAGGTTAGTTATCGCTTCTGAAAGCACTAAGGCCAATTAAATGTAGCTGAGGGTTTTCCTGAAGTTTGCACATTCAAAGAAAGTGCAAAGAAAGATCACTGTACACAGCATAAGTCTAAAGCTACAGTTTTATTATCAAATAAGCTGAATTTTATATTGCTTACAGAAACGAAATGCTTCAATAAGCCTTCCATATCTATTTGAAAGCTGTGTATCTATTAAAACATCTTAATATGTACTTTTCCCTGCCAGTTGCCATGACTGATCAAGAGGAAATAAAAATGCAACTCCCTACTTCCTCAGGTTCTATGATTCCCATGCAGGTAGACAGGAGGAGAGAGTCCATCTTCCAAAGGCAGGAGCTATGTGTTCATTATTCTGTACCTGATGGAGGCATGTAAACTAAAGCTGCTTTTATGTCTCTTTTAAAAAAATGTAAAAATACATTAGTTTATATTATATATATAATATATATTTATTATATATATATTATACATTATTTATTAGTTTACTTCTGTGTATTCTGTAAGCATCTTTACCTGTAAATGGCATTTCTCATGAGGATTATGATAATGAAGATTGTCATGTATTTTAAAACTAGCAGGAGTTATTCATTCACAATACAATGATGGCAAAAGAGAATTTTTTGGGGGGTTTGTCACTAACACTCCCAGCAAGGAGAAATGCTTTGTCCAGCAGTAAGGACAAAGAAAAAGCTTGAAATTAAATATTTCTGCTTAAAGAGTTAGTTTAATGCTTATTCAACTATCTCAATAGTTAAATCTGCTTCAATACTTCACACTGAAATTATTCATAAAGAAATCATCACCCATCTCTGATGATGATTCCAAAAAGTATTTGCACATTCTATTTGGTATTATTGCTTGAGTTCAACAAACTATTGGGAAAATCTATTCATTAATGTGTATATTACAAAAAAAAAAATAATTTTAAATGACAATTTTACTAATTAATAAATTTACTGAATATTTAGGGAGATATTTTTTTCATGAACAAAACCAATAGAAAATACCCTAAAATACCACTTCTGAAATTACATTCAATTCTGGAAGGTTATTATAGAGCAGTTTCTGAAATTAGACCTGTTTTTTGCAACAAAAATGTAATAAATGTAATTGCTTTGAAATTAGACTACTATCAAATATGAAAACATATTAAAAAGGGTGTCTGTCAGTTTCTCAGAGCAAAATATCCCAATTTTAAGCCATGTTCAGATACCATGCCCTTAGAACACATTGATGTCAAAAGCTACCATGGTCTATCTACAGCACTTAAAGGCTGTCATAAAATAGCAAATTATACTGAACTTACTGTGGAATTTTAAGTGTGCTTATAAGGAAATAAATATTTTTAGTCTGAATTTCACCTGTAAGAATTCCTGCATTCTGAAATTATTTTGTTGTTCCCAAAGTGCTCTGCTCTCCACAATACTTCCCAGAGATGACAAGCTCTGCCCCAGTATGAGAAGGGTGTGGGCTGAAAAGTAAGAAAACCTTGCTCATAGGCAGACCTCTTTGCTCCTGCCTAGGACTCCCAAGATGTGGACTCACAGCATCATCATTTGACAGCAGCTCCTGCTGCTTGCTGCCACACATCACCTGGATGCAGAGAGACTTGACCTCGTCTCAGCTCTAAGGTGGGAAATATGATGAGACTGCTTATGCAGTATCTACAAAGCTCAAGCAAAGGCTCATGAGGATACACAACAAGAGAATATAGTCAGGACTGCCACACAGGCACACTGGAAATTTTCATCCAACTGTTTTTACCATTTACCATTCACCATTCAAATGAAGATTTACTTAGAAAAAATTCTCAGGATGGCATTTATGGTAGAAGAACACATCCTCCCCACAAGTAGCTTCATGCTTAGATTATGGACTTCATTCTAAACCCAGCTCTGCCCCATCTGGAACAGATTTCAACTCAGATGAGCTTTCCAGCGCTTAGCTAATTCAGAATAGGTATACTTCCACAGTTTTTGTTGGAGGTAAGCTATTTAAATGCCTACTGAACTAAATTCACATATAAATGAAAAAAAAAAATTGTTAGGGAGATAGGAAATAATATGACTCACCAGGAATTCTTCACATCTTAGAACTATTTCTAAAACATTAGCACTGACAACATAAGTTAATTGATAGAAGTAGAGAGTCCTTTTATTCTTTTCATATACATCTTATTTAGACTGTTATAACTTCATCTTCCCTATATTCCCCAGCAGCAAGCTTTCAACTTCTTCCTTAAGTTGGGCAGAAAACAGTATAACTGGATAATATTTCATTAAGCCCCCTGCTTCATCAGGTTAAAATATTGAGCACCTGGTAGATAATGTTATCAAATTAATCATACTTTGTCCACTTTTACCTCTCAAGAAGATTCAGCAAATCTGTCAGAAAATGTTACTACAGCAGTCATGGTTAGTAAAGATATTCCAGAAAGTGGCAGATTCAATTTTCCATTTTTTGAGACATCAGGTAGTTTTAAAGTAAGCATTACTAAACTGCAGATTTTTTTTTTCTTTCTGGCTTCAGTTCTTTGCTAAATTCCTTTGAGTCTGGCAATGGCTTTTATTTTGTAGTCACAGTTGGAAAAGCGGAGGACATGCACAAAACACTCAGCACATGAACTTCAGGCAGGTTCCTTTGAAGGACTAAAATGTTACATATACTTTTGCCTCCTTTTCAAACTGTTTGGTGCATTAATATATTTTACTTATGTACATGTGTCTATTGCAAGATCTCCGAGTCATTTAAGGAGATACTTACTATAAATTTATATCATCACTGGTAAAATTAAAAAAATTAAAAAAGATCCTGCAAATGCATCACGTGCATCGCTTCATTCACTGTCTATCGAGTACAAGTTAAATCTGAACTTTATGTATGACATCAATGTGGAAAAAGCTTCAATTAGCAAGTGTTTGTCTAATACGAATGCTGTTTAATGTTATCTCTTAATGATCCTGCAAATATCAATACAATAATGCATTTTGCTCATTTTACAGTGATGGAGATGATTGTAGCTAGTAAAGTTAACTGGAATAAAATATAAAGTGAAACTGTAGATCTGAAGGAGCTGTGGAGCTAAAGCAGTACTCAAAACAGACAGATCTGATATTTTTTGAAGTTACTTAATATCATACGTGCCATAACAGATCAAAATACAAATTAGAACTCAGGTAATTTTGTCTTTTCTATTGCCATGCTCAGCAAATTTTCTATTGCTTTGCCTGAACTTTCCATAATTCCTTGTGAACTAGCTATTTTTAGAAAAAGAATGCCTTGTCATAGCAAATCAACAAATAACTTTCTTCTCACAGTCTAATACTGTCTCAGTCAGAAAAGGAGACGTTTAAGTTAAATGTTAGTGATGACACAGTTAACAGTATCTGTAGATAGTACATGAGATCATGTGCTCTTGAGGTGTGTTACCTGGTGAAAGGGAGGACAAGTCATTTTGCTCATAAATACCATTTTGAGCACTGAGGCTGTGTTGAATCATTACATACTGCCTGTATGGAAGGAGAAAGCTGTGTTGTCATAAGGAGGGGGGACAATAGGCCACACAGAGATCAAAAGTGGCCCAAAAAAGCTGAAGTGATCGTTTATGTCCTTACTCAAGGAGTCTGGCTTTTATCTCAATTACTCTTTGGTATTTTTATGAAGATCAAATTCACATCTAAGAACAGGAATCAAAGTTTTATCTATTCTTTTTACCTATGTACAGAAAGAGAAAACAAAGATGGAAATGCTTTAGAATGCTTTTCTGTTTTAACATCCAAACATTTTTTATGTCTGGAAGCTCAGTTATGACATTTTTAATTCTGAATCAGTACCTACAAAGAATTAATGGGGCCTAACTAATCTACTTCATATTCACACCACCAGTTTACTTAGATAAATTTTCTATACTGTTCCTAAGTGTAAAAGCTTAACAAAGACTAATAAAATGATAGAAAGTATATTACAAAAAATAAACTAAGTTCTAATTTGCTTAATTACCAGGGGACAAATATTGTTACAAGTTACAGTATTTTCAAAATCATAGAATCATAGAATCATAGAATGGTTAGGGTTGAAAAGGACCTTTAAATATCATCCAGTCCAGCCCTCTGTGTCATAGATAAAATGACACACTTCACTGGTAAGAGAGAATTAGCAATATATTTATTGATAGAAACCAGTGATTTACCAAGATTCAGTGGCAAGGTATTTCCTGCATATAAGTCAGGGTCACACAAAACTGTGAAGGAGACCTTCCCATTGAGTCATGAGGTTCATAAAGGACCCCACTGATTTCTAAACTCCTTCTCAGACAGGAGTCTAGGTACAGGTGGATCCAGACTTGGCTAACAGTTTCTGTCTAAAGGGTCATGTGCACAATCAATCCTTTACATTACTTACCTAATATTTCCAAGTCTAGCATACTATTTATCACTTATTATGAATCGGTTGTGGAAAGGAATCTCTTGACCTTGAGGAGTAACATTGAGAGGTGTTCCTGCTCAAGGGGAGATCCTGGTGCACAGCCCACTTCCATGCAGGAGTGAGATAATGGACTCATGGTCATGTTTGCATATCAGCTAAAGAAGTTAGGGTTTTTTTAAACTTGGCTTGAGTTGAACCCTGACTGGCATTATGATTAGGGGTTGCAAATTGCTCATATTAGCCCTTGGCTATTGCACTGTTATCTGTCGCTGAATCCACTTTGAGTATGCAACCATCATGACCAGACACATCCATTACCGCCACTGGTGGTTATCACTTGGACAGTTACAAGAGATAAAAGTTAGGTTGAGTCAGGGAGGGAATCACACTGCCACACCCTGCCATGCACACGGACACCTCCCAGTAGACCGGGTTGCTTAAAGCCCTGTCCACCCTTGCCTTGAACAGTGTCAGGGATGGGACATCCACAACTTCTCTGGGCAGCCTGTTCATGGACATGGCAGCTGTAAACATGAAGAGAGTCATTCACACAGGCTGTGACAAAAGGGAAAGATGGAGTGCAAAAGTAGACACTTTAAATGATATGTTAGGAAATGAAATGAGACAAGTTGTGGGCAGATGGAATGATTTAAGAGCAATGTGCCATTCTGCTTTTATAGTGCCCTTTTTTTCTGACTGAATTTCCTATTTAATGGATGACTTCAGGTTTTGCTTTCTGGCTTCCAGACACTAATAGATCTCACTTCAGAATTTCAAGCAATGTCAGAGTCAGCATTTGGCAGCCAAGTGAGCCTACACCACTGCCAGGACAGAGGTTCATTCTGCCAAACTTCAACCATACCCCTCTGAGGAAGTTTTCTTAGACCTTCCTCAATGTCCATAAAGAAAAATAAGCAGTTTTAGAGAATGATTCATCTAATATATTTTAAAAGTCTACTCTGGGTTGAAATGAGTTCCTTTCTAAAAATGTCTATTTCTCTTCACTGACCAGTGAAGCAGTTTAGAATGACTAGCTCAAATACCCATGTCTAGACTGTAGCCCATGCTTGCATTCTTTTGATGAGTCCTGCCCAAGATGTCAAAAACCGAGAAGGAAAACATAAAACTGTCAGCTATATGAAAACTTATAAACAAAAAATCGATTTATGAACTATATGGACATTTATGAAAGATAACTCTTAATATCAAACAACATGCATATATCTGTGATGCAAACACCACCCCCACACTCCCTTTACTTGGGGGAGATTAAAGTACCAAGAACCTGACAAAAATCTTCATTGTCACTTAGGCTTTTGGCTATAATAAAATCAAGCAGAAACAGAATAGAAAAAGAACAAAAAAGCAAAAATACCACCCCTGTTGTGACTGCTCCTAATTTTATTAAACACTCCTATGTTTTTTTCAACAGGTCATAAGATTATGAAGAAATTCTTAGAGACAATTGGCAACATTAACAAAGATCTGCTTTATATTTGCAGATCTTAAATAATTTCCTGGGGGGGGGAATTCATTTTTTTATTTTTTTTTTCAACAAATTAAACTCTTGGCAACATTGAACTTATCCTTTTGTTATTTTTATTAAGAAAAGATTTGCGAGTCAGACTTCTGCTTGACTCCTGCCCAGATCAAGAGTACTATAGAAACGGGAACTGGAAAAGTCAAATGCCACTCAATATTGTTGGCAATACTGAACTGTAAAGACCAGACAAACAGCAGTGCCACCTACTGTTTAGACTTTACAGAAACTCCTAAAAGTTGGGTCCAGGCACCTTATGTATGGTTTACAGTAGAAGGTTCACTTTGAGAAGGAATTACTTTCTGTAACAAACACGGTGTAGCTGAAAAATAAGTTTAAAAGAAAAATTAAAACCAAACATCTGTGTATGAGTGAGATCACTGTCTTCTACTCTGTCTTATATTTTCATGCAAAGTATTCCAGTCAGGGAAATAAGAATTTTAAACATGTTTTTTAATTAAGGGATAAAGTGGGAACTGATTTAATCTTCAGTTTTTTACAAGATTATGCATTTTTTACAGGATTTTTTTTTTGCATTTTTACAGGATTCAGTTGCATTTGAGCTTCCTACTCACTCACTGACTCTCAACATGCATATACATGAAATGGACTTGCAGACCAAGTTAGTTAATACATGATTTGTTCTCATACAGATGATTTACAGAAAATAATGTTATTTTCAGATTAATTTATAAAAGGTACATAAAATATTAGCAGATTTTATCTTTAGGAAATGTTTGTACTGAAATGTTTAATCAGGTATCAAGGAGCAGCTCTTATCATAGGTGTAGTGGGGTCCATTGCCATGAAGACTAAATAACCCTCAGCAAATCTCTGAGTCTGATTTCATTCCTGCATCAGGCTGAGGCATGGCACACAACAGGATGGAGCCCAGCACCACAGATGCCAGGACATCCTCTGAGCCCATGCATCAGCCCCAGTGAGGATTTCCCTGCTATCCTCTGAAACCCCTTCCCCTGTAAAAAAGCATGGGCCAAATGGGGCTGAGCATGGAAAGTAGCATGAAGGAAAAAGTTACTAGGTCATTTGGGAAGTAATGGCCATTTGTGGGGGTGGGGACATTTTCCCAGCCTGTAACAACTAACAATCCTTCTCTTTTATTACCCAGATAATGAATAATCTACAGCGCTCTTGGTGCATGTGTTTGTTCCCTTAAGTTGCATTAAACATGGGTCAACACATACACAACGGCCTATAATAAATTTTTTTGTTGAGATCATGACTAACCAAAAAGCCTTAGCAGGCTCCTGGAGACACCAGTCTAAAAGGCTGTGAGTTTTAGATTACTCATCCCTCTTGTACAATGACTACAATATTCTAGTAATATTAAGTCTCTATGATACATGCCAATTGTTGAAGCCATGTGACAGCGAGGCTTCTAATTCCAACTACCTTGGGTACCTGAAAGATGAGAAGCCACTCAACAGCATCACAGAATGATTCGGTCTGGAAGGGACCTTAAGGATCATCTAGTTCTAACGCCCTGCTATGGGCAGGGACACATCCAGAGGGTGAGACACTTCATTTTGAGATATGGTACGAGCTGATTTAGCTTACTGTAGAATGCCAATGTTTACTTTACACTAAACAAATAAATAAATGAAAAATTTTGGCAAAAATTAATAGGGCAGGAAAATCTTCTAGCAAGGAATTTCAATGAATTTCAATTCCCATTTCAGAGCAATGCTTTTTTAAAAAATTTAATTTGTTTTTAATAAAGTATATCTTTACCTGAAATTCTTGGTTTTGGGTAGAACACGGCAACTGTAATACATAAAGGCAAAATCTAAACTCTCAGAGGCTGCTGAGAGATGTGCTGAAAGCAGCATATCTACGTGGCACAATATGATCAAATGCATGATTTAAATAATGCTACTCTGCTCAATCTAGACAGATGAGGCCTTTGGAAACTCGGGAAGAACTATCTGCTCTTTGATATTTAGAAGTAACTTGAACATGTCATCTTTGGGCTAGATAGTAGCTGCAAGTCAGCCCAGGGGAAATCTCACCTCAGTCTTTTTGTTAGCTGCTGTTACTCAGTTTTCATTAAAGCAATGCTCCAGATAAAGCGCAGACAGGTGCAAGGGAATAAAATTGAAGAGTACCTTGCCTGCTCAGCTTGATCAAAGCAAACTTAGTGGCCCCAAGTGATAAAACAGGGACAGAAACACAGAAATCAAGATAAAGACAAACTTTAATCAAAACAACTATGAAAAATGTGTTATGTGTTCCTCATAAACAGTACTATACCATTTTATTTAAGGAGCCTTAAATTACACAATGTCAGTAAGTCTTCACAATAATTATGCTTTGTTTAGTTAATTATGTCAATCATAGCCTCACTTGCTGCTCAAATCAACTACAGGCTTGTCACCCTGCAAATTACATCATACAAACCTAGTATGTACTGTTTGATATGACTAAACTCAAACAAACCACTTCAGGCTTGGACTGAACCTCTTGTAAGGTTCAGCAGATCTAATCAGCTACTCTTATATACTATATGGTATACTATCTTTTTCGCTCAGAAAGTCTGTTAGCCTTCTGCCTTGAATGATTTTCTTGGTTCAAATCAACTAAATAGGAGAAATTCCTCATACTTTGCTGTTGTTGTGATTCCTTCTGAGAGCCCATATTACAGGGCTGCATCTGGAAAGTCCATTGTTCAATGGACTTCCAGTGCCCTATGTTCCAGCTTTCTAATTTACAGCTTAAGACAGGTGCTTATTTCATCTAATATGACAAATAAAAGACACGTTGAGCATTTCTAAGGACAATTTAAATTAGGCAGCTCAGGGGTTTCCCCTCTTTAGGCAGAATTCTATGGCTTATTCACCAGTTGATGTTTTTGGTTCGACAGGTATCAGAGATCTTAGTTTTCTAAAATTTATCAAACAAATGATTCAATGTCTATCCTGCTGATAACAATAGGTTTCTTCTGCTTACATACTGTTTAAAGACTTGTCTTCAAATCCTGCGAGACACTGCAATTATTCAGCTTATAAATCAAAAGAACCATCAGAAACTGGTAACTAGTAATTAATGATACAATGCCATGGGAATTACTATTGTAACTAAAGTTACTTGCTTTTTGAGCAGACGTTAAATCCACTTTCTTCTTCATTTTTTTTGGTGTTTTTCTGATAATTGATAAATAACAACTTTCCTTTCCTCCGCTTCAAGTTTTCTGGAACTTTTGACTTCAAATGTATGCATCTATCTAGCTCTTCTTCCCAATAATAAAAAATCTTTCTCTTTTTCACTTTCTCTGTAACTTCTCTGGAAGCTCTTTTTTTATTTGCAATGACAAATGAAACTATTAATGCAAACTGTACCTCTTCTATGAAATTGAAGCCCAACTCTGCACTGTGGACTGTTGCCTTGGCTTCAGTAATATTACTGTTTACAAACAAAGTTCAAAGATGTACTCCCAGTGTTTTTTATTTGTTTCCCACAGACTTGAAAAGAAGCAAGACAAGAACTGGAAAGAGCAACTAATGAGAAAAACCCTGCACTTCCTGCTCTGAGAAATTATCTTCCCATACAATGCCCCAAACTGCATTTCACCTTCACATTTATTTGCAGTCAAACTAATTATTTTTTTTTTTTCTTTCCTGTAGGTATAATTCACAAAATGTACAGCTTTAAGAAGTACTTTTCCCTGAGAATTCTCTTTGGAAGTATACCTTAGAAAGATCCAGTCATGACTTGATGCACTAGATCTATATTCACCCTGCCTTTCAACAATGTGAACTTAATTTTGGTTTTATTTATTTTTCCCTTTTTATTACAAATTTCAGTAATATGTCTGTATCATTTGGAGAAGATCTTTGTTAGAGCTTGCTAAATCTGATTTTATAAAATTGGCCATTAGTATCACGGCTATTTTCCAAGCCAGCTGTTGAACTTTACCTTCTGAAAGACTTACGCTACTGTTCTTCTCTCTTATGAGCCTCAACACATTTTCAGCTTTGTTAATACCTCCTTTCTCGCACAGTTCCCTTGAAGCTAGACATTTCCATCCTAGTTACCCACCCCCTTCTACCCTATGAAGTCACTGGACTCCTTGCAAAACTAGTTGTTTTTTATCTAGAAGCACCTCTGTTCATTTGAGCTCTTTCTGGGGGTACGGTTCCTACATTTGCTTTATCTGTGAACTTCTATCTCCTGTAATCATCACTCTTTGGGTCCCTGTTTGGACACATTAGTCAAGCACAAAGTGATTCTCCTAGCAGTATACACCCAGTTTAGAAGTATAAAAATTATTAATTGATTATCATACACATATGATCACTACTAGATTAGGCATTGATATGCTCACTATGTTTTGTAAGACTATGCAGGGTCTTTACTAGCCAGGTAGACAAATGTCAGGAGAAGAGCCGCAGCTGTGCCATTTCTGACACCCTGGTTTTAATTTGTGATTTTATACTTGCCCATGTTGATGCTTTTCCTTGTCTTACCGTGTCTGCAGTTTTAGCTTTCTCATCTCACATGAATCTCCTCTTCAGATTTCCTGACAGGTTGTGGGGTTTTTTGTCCCCCTCCCCCCTCTTTTTTTTTCCTCACAACTCTGCAATTTTCTCAGTCTTCTGAGCCATGGTTATGTAGCTGTGCAGTATCAGCAATGGGCCTGGTATCCTTCAGAGCACAGATGCCCCGACAGACTTCAAGACAGAGGGAGTCACACTCCTCTTTTTTAGCACTGAGATGACTGTGACACAGAGGTGAGGAAATGAATTAGTTCCAAGTGGCTACCAGTCAGACCTGTAGGTTTGAGTATACATTGCTCAACAGTAACCTATATGCCCGTGCTTACTCCGTAAGAAAAGCTTATCTTTTTCCTTGTGATACACCACCAGACATTTCTTCAGATCTTAATACACTGCATTAAGTCATTATGTTTCTCAAACTTTTCGCTCCGTGTATCAGTATTTGGATCTAGGCCAATAATTTGAATTAATGTTGCAAAAAACGGTATTTAATCCATTAATGACACCTATCTACAAGAAGAATCCTCTATTGTCCCCATGAAAATTTATTATGCAGAGCTCATAGAAGAGACATTCAATAGGGGATATAACTTTAAAATGAATATATTTCCAAATTACACACATAACATCTTTGTCAGTAATAAAAAAAGACAAGTTAAGTTTCACTCCCAATGATTTTCTTTGTATGTCTTCTCATTTTCTATGTAGGACTGTGAAATAAGAATTCAGTCTTACTAGCAGTGACAAGTTACAGTGACAATACTGACCAACTCAGTTGTGCTGACCAAAAAAGTAACACAGATAAAGTCATATCCCAAAACCTCCTTTTGCTGCTGTAGCTTATCCTGTTAAGGGAACTGATTTTATATACATTTCCAAGTAACTATATCAGTGCTCCAAAATGCCTATTCTGGCACACACCATATAAAACCATCAGAATGTTTATATAACTCACGTAAGCTCTTTTCTTTTTGTACATTTTATTCTTAAGAAAATGGCAGAATATTACAAAGAACAACTACTAAGGGAGCAAAGAATGAAAGACATGTCATGCTATAAAAATGTTGAAAATGGATACACTTATCTAAACATGAACATGCTGCAGATATAATTAGCTTTGACACTTGATGGATAAGAGTCTGATCAAGTCTACCTATGGGAGAGGGCAAGAGAAAGGACTGAGTTGAGACAGGGGGAGAAGTCTTATTTACACTTTCTTCTAAAAGGGTAAAACAGACACTAGTGTCAGCAGCTACATTTGAGAGACAATGTCTCTGCTATCCCTGGCAATGACGTGGCTTTGCCTATACATGGAACTATCCTTGATTAAAGTTTTCATTCTCACCAATTCATAAATCTTAATCTGTATTAAGATTGGAATAAGATTAATATTGGAATAATTTTCCAGTTCATTAATAGATCAGACATATTACAGAAGGAAGAAGAGATTACCTAATGTACATGAACCCACATCTGGGAGGATGAGAACAAAAAGGGTCCTCCTGCTATGCTTGCAACCTTTGCACTTGTCATAGCTGTGAAACAAGTATTAATTTAGATGCAAGAGTGGTGCTCATGATGCTACTGCCCACGACAAATTAGAATTCTTGCCTGTAATTAAAGCAGGCTTTTTTCTCAGACATCTACGGCTCGTCTCTCATCTACAAGCACACCCTGTAAATATGGGGAAAGAGCACAGGATGATGAAAAGGCAGTAACTCCACCATGAGATTATTTGGTTGCTGCAAAACAGTTCCAGGGCTCTGTTTTGCAACTATTGCTTTTTAGAAGTTGGAAAGAAGACTGAACTATGCACAACCACTTTAGACAACAGAAGCTGCCAAGGTCCCCCACAAAACAGATGCAGCTCCTTCTATCCCAAACCCATACCAGCCCTTCCCATATACCAACAAAAAGTAATAAGGGACTCCAGAAGTGGAGGCTTGTATGTGAAGTCTAACATATTTTTTCCCCAGCTAATTTAACTCCAGTAAGGCCCCTGGGAGACTTGACACATACACTTTTATCTCCCTGGTTTTATTCATCCACTGTTGGCTATAGGATCCCTCTCCACCTGGAATCTACATGCTGAGTTGGCTTTGCTACTCGCCTGCCAGAAGGGTGAGCAGACTCACCTTATTAATACACACACACACACAAAAGGGCAAGACCACCCAAACCAAACTAAAACCCAGGTCCAATGCCGTCTCCAGATCACCCCTTCAGCCACAGGAAGCGCCTTCGCAGTGCCGGACCGGAAAGCGGCGCTGACACGCGCCACTGTCTCCCGGCTGTCAGCGGCAGCTCACTGAGTGGTGTCGTGAGTCAGGCAGAAAGGCACCCGGCGGGCCTCCCTCCCTCGGGAGGCCCCGGAGCAGGAGCAGGAGGTGGCCAGCCTAGGCAGGCACGCTGCCTCACCCAGCACCTGTGGGCAGGGCGGAAAGAGGCCACCCCAACTGGAACAGCCCACAAGGTCCCCTTGAGGGACGTAACTGATCACCGCCTCCGTCCCCCTCACATGCTGACTGTCGTGCCGGGCTGCCCCGGGCTGCGCACGCGCGTAGGAGCAGCATCATGGGGAGGGCTGTACTCCCTGCCTCCCTCCCTCCCGCCCCCCCGCCGCCGCTTGGCTTCCTCAGGCTCCGTGGGCGCCCTTTCGTACTCCCCGCTGCAGCTCACGGAGCCGGCGCTGTCGCCGTCAGCCGGGGAAGGCAGCGCAGCGGGGGAGGCCCTCGCCGTCTCCCGAGGATAAAGCCACCCGTGGACAGGGTGCGCTCCTGGGTGCAGAGGTTGGGCACTTCAGGGTTGGGATTGGGCCCTTTTGGAGCCGCCCGGGACCCGTCGCGCACCCCCTTAGCGGAGGTTGTAAGCGTTGGTAGGTTCTGCGGCTCCCCGCGGACCTGCCTCTGTGGTCGTCATGGAGGGACGTGCGGCCGCTCTGGCTCGGTCTGGGTCCCGGTGCCGGGGATGTGGCTCGCAGGTTTCACTGTAGACCCCCGGGAGGGTCTGGGGCTGGAGCCTCCGGGAAGGGAGGCGGGGAGAGGCTGGGGGTGAGCTGGAAATTTGAAGGGATGTGGCCCTCTTAAAAATCGCCCTTCGGTTGCTAAGTTTACAAGTTTAAAAGGCGCGGTGACAGTGCTGTGTTCGCTTCGGCTGTCATGTGACGTTTAAAAATGTCTCAGGGTTTCAGCTGTGTTTTGCTTGTTTGTACCGGTTGTTTACTGAACAACAGTGTGTGTTTGGGGGAATCGAGTTGCATTCCAGGCCTGTTCTCATGGCGCACAGGACGAAGCAGAAAACTTTAAACTCACTTACTTAGTCGGGATTCAGTTTGAAGTTGATAAGTATACCTGAGACCTCACCTGTGCAGAAGCGCACTGGGTTTCTTTGCACTCATGGTAAGGGCAGTAACTTGTTTTTCATCTGAAAAACTTAATTTGCATATGTTACTCTTTATGGGCAAGGTCTTGCTGGGTTTAAAGCAGACTTGTATTTGATTTGTAAGTCACTACTAGGATATCCTTGTAGAATGGTAGATTCCAAGGCTTGTCTTCTATCAGCCAGAGTGCTTGAGTTTTTCTTACTAAGATCTTGACACCCGCACTTTGTTTTTGTGAGCTATTGGTTTGAATTTGCTGGAACACTCCTTGCACATTTTTCAGCTGAGGTAGAGGGAGCACAGTATCCACATTGTTAATCATAAGGCACAGTTCATTTGCTTGTTCCTTGTGTTGCTAGCAATATTAGTCCTTCCTGTTTCTGAAATGAACAACTGAATTCATGGTTAGTGGTGAAGAACACAGTGCCAGATGGATACTGAACAAAAGTTCTGCTTAGAACTATTTCACTGTCAAGTGAATCAACTGTTGATACATCTGTGTTTTAAATAAAGTGTTTGTGAAGAGGATCTTGTTACAATATCAGGGCCTTGGTGTGCAATTACCTTTCAACTATTCTTAAATTTTGTTTTGTTTTTTTCCTTAATGTTTTTAAACAGATTATGTTTAGAAGAAAGTTTCTACTGTGTTTGGCAATGGTGTCCAAGCTCATCGATACTTACTTTGTAACTTCATGGTGAAACAGCTTCTAAGAGTATCAGTTTAGGTACCACATCATCTGGATCCAGAGGTCACTTTTAAGAAAATGTGGACTGTTAAAAGTCTTTGTAGTGCTCAAATACTGTTGCTTCAGTTGAAAAAAAACAGATCATGTAGTTGTACACTACCAAAAACTCAGCAGTTCTGGATTGGAATTCTGAACTGTCGCACTGTAAGAGCACCCTGTAACAAAGTTCAATTCCAAGTAAGTATTTTTGTGAGGCTGTAGGTATAAGTGATGAGCATCAATACAGTGATAATATAATTTCCTTGAGAAATCTGCAGAGCTAAGCTTTTGACCTTGCAGCCTTATTTATGAAGTGAAGATACCTTTAGTATATCAAGGTAGAGGGCTTGTCAGCTGCAAGTTGCAGGAGAACCAGTGTTTCAGAAGGATGTTTTTTGTCTGACAGTTCTAAGTTAAAGGGAAATACTAATTTTTTAAAAAATTGTACTTCAGGCAATACTGCACTATATCTGGCAGGCTTATTAGTTAGAGTGATAGCCATTTGATGAAGTATAGGACCAGAGCTCTGGAAACTTTACTAAGGCAATGTTGAACAAAAAAGTGGGGAGTGGGAGGGGAAGGTCAATTTTTATTGGGTTGGTAAGGGAGGATAAAAGCATAAGAGTCTGGTCATTAAAAACAAAACCCCACAAAAACCAAAAAAACAAGAAAAAAGAAAACCCAGAAAACAAAAAAACTGTGGATATAAACAAAAACAATGGGAAAGGACACCAAATGAAGGCTAATTTGACTTTGAGAGTTTCAAATAGCAGTGTTTTTCTAGATGTCTAATTAAGTTCCTCTTTAAAATACAAATTTGTGCCTGTATAAATAGTGGAACACTCTGGTGTCAACTATTTAGGGGGGCTAAGCAATTGAGAACCATCTAGATGGTTTTACAACTATTTTAATTGACTGTTGATCTGTTTGGGGATAAATAATGTTTATCCTATATCTTCCTGGTTTTCTGTTTTTAATAGTAATATTTGACTGTATGATTATAGGTTTCAAAGATGAATGATAAACAATCAGTAGTAGATATGGGAATGGCTACAAGTGCAGAAGAAACTAAAATAGATGCTGGAAAAAGTCCCAGTGGAGTGTGTGATAGAAGCCAACATTCATTAGAAGGTACTGAGCCTTTTGCTGCCATCTTCTTAAGAAGGAACAGCCTTCCCTGTCCTCTCTAGACTTGTATTAATAATCAAGATGGTCTAAACTCTTAATTTGAAATCTTTGTATCATGCAATGTGTTTATTTTTTACTCTAAACAATCACAAGGATTAACTCACAAATCCTTTTAAGGGGCTTATACACAATTTTTCTAGTTTACAAGGACCTGTGTATTTTTCCTAAATGTCTTAATGGCTGATTACATAGTGTACTGATTATTTTGTATTATTATCTTAATTTTTTTCTTCAATGTCATCACACTTTTTCAATGCTTATTCCATGTGACTGAATCAGTTTCTTGAGTATTCGTAAAGGCTATGAATGATCTGTGATGCTAGTGAACGTTTTTTTTTTTCTGTTATAAATGTGAAAAAAATTGGACATTCTTGTGTGAGTGGTGATTTCTGATTCAGATAAATTAGTCATTACAGTTATAACCTTTATTTTAGCAGTGCTGCCTAACTAAACAGTTCTTTCTGTAATTTTGCTTGTTTTATCATTCCTAGCTAATAACTAATCCTCAAATGTGCTGTTATGCGTCACATATTTTAGTTCCTGTGCTTCAGGGTGCTTGGTCATTCACATTCTATGCATATTTAATTTTTGTTTATAAAGATGTTTTAGTCAGTTGCTTTGGGCATTTTCAGCTTTTATTTACAAATGAGATGACAGGGAGGTCGTTGTGATTGGTTAAGACGCTGAGATCCTGTGCTCTTTATATCATTATATTGCTCAGGAAACAGCAGTATGAGAAACTGCTGTGCTATTTCTTGTGCATGACAATTAGGAAGAGAGTACCTATTCTGAAAAAGCTGTATTGTACTGTGTCGTAATTCTGCTGTACAGGCTTGTCTCCTTACATACGTTCTCTTTTAGTTTTGCATTACAAATGAAAGATACTGCTGAGTAAGCCAAAAATGTTCCCCGGCTCCCCCATCTGTTACTCCCTCCCTGGTGTATTTTTAATCAGCAGCATATTTTTTTGTTGTTGTTGTTTTCACAGATGTGAGAATCTTTTAAATAGAATTCTAAGGTTTATGTTTATTCCTGAATGCTCCTGCATTATCTGTAAAGTAATGAGATTGAACAGGACCAGCGTCCTTCTGGATTCTTCTTTTACTTCTCTTTTCTTATTCTTCTATTTTTTTTTCTTGGATACAACAGAAGCGTATCTATCTACTTGGTTAAAATGACAATGTTTTCTAAAAGCAGTAGCAAAAGCAGTTGCTCTGTGCTATTGCTATGTCATATTTATGACAGAACTTTACAGTGTGCACTGTCCAGCTGAAATGTACTTATGCATCTTTTAAGTTTCGTTGACAGTTTTTCCTAAGACATGGCAATATGATAACTTTGAGTTAATAGATAATATCTTTAATGGTCAGAACTTACACTGAACCATCCAGGAGTATTTGTTCTGAAGTCCTGTGGAGCAGGTGTTTCAAAGCATTTCTAAGATAGCAAGATTTCTGCTGTTGGCTCAGGCAGCTGAAAAAATGGCCTATGTCCAGATGTGACTATGCTCCTATTTCTGGTAGTCTGTAAGAAATCTGCAGGGGAATAGTCATCCTGTAGACTTAGTTCAATTTCTCTGCATGTCCTCTTGGGAATTGTTATAACCCAACTATTCGTTTTGATCAGAAGAGAAGTGGTCTACCTAGATTATCAAAGCAAAAGACACTTCTGAATCATACTGTCTCTGAAATTCACCGTTCTAACTTGCAAATCAAGTGTTGCCATAATGTATTTGCAGGAATCAAAAGAAGAGGGAAAGTTTGTATTCTCATAAAAGGGTGTACATTGGTTTTCTATTTATTGCTCTAATGCCTGCTTTCTTATCTTCTACTCAGATTCCTTTGCAAGGTGAAGTGACATTGCTTAGCTGCATCTGTCATGTAGGTAGTTTCTTATGGAACCACAATTTTTACTCATCTGTATCATCTTTGTAGGTTAGTGCTTTGTTACAGATTTGTTTTAACTGGCCTTCAATGCAATGTACAGAACCTCCCTGCAGGCAGATGCATAGTGCAAGCCCTGAGCCAGTTTGATCTGATAGCTGGCCTTGTTTTGAGCAGAAGGTTTGGGCAGCAGACCTCCTGAATTATGCTATAACTCAGTGTTTTATTATTTTTACTTCTCACTATTTACCCAGTCATAGTGTCATTACAAGTATGTGCAAAACCTGTTTCTCAGTCATGCAGCTAGATGTAACAGCTGGATCTGTCATTTGAACATGAATGTAATCTGCCAATTAACATTTGTACTGAAGTATTTTTAAATTTCATGTATATGTGACATACATAACATAGACCTGGGAGCTGATTCCAATTAATAAAAATGTAGTGCCTTGATAATGCAACTAAACTGTTGTTACTTTTGATTTGAAGTCCTCTCGGGAGACCTGTAAAACAGTGCCATATTGTGTGTCATACAAATCCAGTGGATCAAGTACTTCTACGGGGGGGGGAGGAGCAGGAGAGGTAAGAAAAAAAAAAGGTTGAGGACTTTTAACTGCTGTTTGGGTTGCTTTCACTTCATCTTTTTGGACTTGAAATTAGTCTAAATAGAGTACAAGACTGACAGTATTCTTTAACAGTATTTCTTGACTTGAAATCCTAGTGTTATTTTTTTCTTTTTGCATGCTTATCTCTCACTGAATCCTTCTGTCAGTCAAGCTACTGATGTGAATACTCGCTGAATAATCTCTTTCTGTCTCTTGGGTAGGGGAATAAAGAGCGAGAAGTATGGGATCTAAGTATTAAGAATTAACTCTCATTAAAAAATGAATGCCATGTATCCAGACACTCAAGAGAACAGCAGTTACTCACAATAACTGGTAATTAGGAATAAAACTCATCAGAAAATGAAATTTCCTCATGAAGCCTTGTAAAAACAGGAGCGGACATCTGACTTTAGTCAGTATATTTGCAGTAGTTTTTGTTCTGATCTGTTGTGGGTTTTTTTATTTAATCTTAAATTTCTCGGTGTAAGTATGCTTTAGTTTTCGTCTTTTGGTGTGTTTTGTTTGGCTTGGGCTTTTGTGTTGTTTTTTTTTTTTGTGAACATCTAATTATCTTACAGTAGAGAGAGATAACCTTTTGGAATGCTTTGTAGATGAGCCTTGTAGGAAGTTCAGAAGATGTGCATGGACATAAGCATATATATGCTTGGTTTTATTTACATAACCGTATCCTACCCATTATCTTAAAATTATATTTCGTAAGTCCTGTAGATGTAATTCTTGCGATCTGTGAACTCTTACTTTGCTTATTTTCTGACCAATCAACTACATAAATATGGTCCTTATTTTATATAATGTTTACTATTAGTAGTGTCTTGAGACTGAAATCTTTTTGGAAAAAAAATGGGAGTTAATTTTTCCATGCTTGTGTTTCTTCATACCTAATAGTGCAGTTGCTTTGACCAAGTTCACCTTCTTGTCAGAGTGGCCCATGATGCAAATGTATCTTTGCTCCTAATTTGTAGAACGCATGGAAACAGCTGCAGCAGTTCATTAAACTCCTGAGAGTTTAGCTAGCCTGAAAGGAAGCACATCATGGAATCATGCTTCAAAGTCTGTTTTAGTTTCCTGGCACTTGACTGAAAAAAAAAAACGTCAGAGTTGTGTTTATTGTTTTCCAGTAAAATCTTGAGTAAACTTTTATCTTCTCTGCAGTACAGTGATTTTTATTTAGATTAAAAGATCCTTTCTTTGTAAAATTAGCAACATGATTTAGCATTTACTTCATTGCAAATGCCTGTCATTGTCATAGCAAGAGTCGACCTCAAGTCCTTTCTATCAGTACAAATGTGTAAGATGCTTTACAGGTATTCCTACTTACAAGTGGATGTGCAAGGGTTTTCAGTGTAAAGGGTGTAAAGCACAGTCTATAAACTACCTTATGATAGTATAGTGTTTTAGCAAAATGATAATGCACTAAACATTACAGTATTCCCTGTCACTGAGACATTGTTGGATTTTAATAATTGATTCATCGATGGCTTGACTTCACAAACGAAGATTTGGGAAGGGCTTTACCCACGCTTACTACAAGAGCCTTGATGACTAAAGAGGCCAATGTGGGATAGGCAAATCCAGTTGCAAAAAGCACAGTGAAAGGTCTCCTTGGGTGGTATAGGCGAGGCACGATTCTTTGTACGCTGTCTTTTCTCCTCGAGACTAATTCTGTGTTCTCAAAGGAGACAATGTTATGGGTGACTAGTTTGGTTTAGCAGTTTAGTATGTCTTCTCTTCTAGTGTTCTTGAAACCTGTTTCTTATCCTAACCTTTCCTGCACCTCTCATCTCTGTGCTGAATAGGCAACTTAAACCAAATTCTGTTTCTGTACGTTTACCTCTCTTCGTGAGAACAGATACCACAGTGTCTGTAGATTATTTCCGAAAGAAACATCTCATCAGCTGTCTTATTACAAACCAATAAAATCGAGTATATTCCTGAGTGACCAACTTTTTTTTTTTTGTCCCATTCATGTTGATATGTACCCAGATAGACTAGGTGTCTATTTTTTATTTAAAACAAAGATAATCTGTCCAATATCCTGCATATCTGTACAATATAATCTGCGGAATATCTTGCTCTCATAATTGTAGTTATTTGCAGAAACAAGAGCTAAAAAATATACAGCATCATATGTTATTCTTTTTAATAAACTGTCCCTAATTATCTGAATTTATGCTTCTATTTGTGTTTTGTTAATTTTAAATTACAATATTCTTGACCCCTTCAGAATATGTTTTGCTGCATTTAGTACTTTATATTTTGCTTAATATTTTTTATTTCTTATTTTAATAGTAGCAACAATATGTTGTGGGCTTTTTTTTTCTTTTTTAAATAAGAAATGATTCTAAGAATTTGTCTATTAATGATTACTAATAATACTACTAAGCAAATGAGTTCCAAAGGTGCAGGAAACAAGCTACTTCTTTACAGAATTAATTTGGGTTCAGGGCTGTGTATGTGTAAGGGGAGTGTGATGACACAGTAGCCATCAGTTTTATAATTTGACTTTGACTGTACATGATTAACCGTGTTTGCTCTCCAGTGGCATTCTTTTACCGCTTCTGAGTAGCTACCTTTGCTTTGTATTTCTTTGACAAATTAGATGAAATTTTGTGTATATATATATGTGTATATATATATATATATATATATATGTATATGTGTATATTTATTTCTTGATTGAAAAAGGGATTTGTCCCAAGGAGTAATTTAGGGTTGTTTCCAATTTTGGAACTAAATGCTACTTGTTCGATGTATTTAGTAATCAAAAGTTTTTACTTTTCTTAAATAAATTGCTGTTTGTTATTTAGATGTAGTATATTATATGTTCTGTACGAAAAGAATAGATGTATATTATAAGATAAAATTAACTGATCCTTTTTCCGACTGTGAAACTATCTCCACAGCAAAAATGAAACACATCAATCTGTCATTTGCAGCTTGTGGTTTTCTGGGTATTTACCACTTGGGGGCAGCAGCTGCTTTTTACAAGCATGGTAAGAAGTTACTGAAAGAGGTGAAAGCTTTTGCGGGAGCTTCTGCGGGATCACTGGCTGCCACTGTCTTATTAGCAGTACCAGAAAATATAGAGGTAAATTAATAAACTCGTAGGTATAGAACATGATAATTTGCAAGGATATTTTTGATGTATCATCTACCATTAATTTTTTAAAAGTATTTTGGTTCTTGCTTTAATCGCTGTAAAGGACCAGGACTTGTGTATATGTTTTTATAAACAAAATCTGTTGACTAGTGGGCAGAAATGTTTATGAAGCAAGTATTTCTTTATTGAAAAAAAAAACCTGTCATAGGAAACTTGTATTTTAGGCTATGTAAATATAATGTGTGTGAATGTTCAGTTGTATGCAGCCAGATATACTTTAATATGCCAGAGTCTGTGTGTACTTAATCCTTGTCCATTACAAAGTTAATCATTGTGGTCTTGGCTAGAGTTAGGCTTTGTTATGCAAATGAATAGCACTATCCTTTCCTTTTTTTTGTGAAAGGAGATGAAAATGGTAGATTGAATGTATCTTCATAAAGTCAAAGAACACCACACACTGGCTCAATTTTTTCCTTCCTGACTGTGCTTCATTAGCCAGTGCAAGAACTGGCTTGTGCACCTCCTTTTCACTAAGTACCATTCACAGTGTAACAGCAGTAGCCCCATTATATCATTGTAGCATTTTGTGCTTTTTTTCTCCAGAGATGCCACTCTTTTCTCACTGTGAATATGGCATCATGTAGAGACAGCAAAGTTATATTTGATGACAACTCTATTACAGGTTCTGTGGGGAGAGCATTAGCTTTCATTTTTGTTTGGTTGGTTTTCCCCATAGTTTGTCCTCCTGAAGTGCCTGTAGTGACTTTCATAGAGGACTAGGCCTTGCCAAAATGCTATTTCTTTAATATTTTGAATTATAATAAACAGCATTATTGGGAGGGAAGGGAAAGCTGTTAGATATTTGTCTAAGTACACTTAGGTTTCAGTCCAGTGAGCATCACCTAACTTTCTCCAGGCCTCGCTTATTAAAGCTTTCATTGCATTTGGTTAAAATAATATTCCCTGCTGATACCACACTTTGCCACTGATTTTTCTGTTTGTTTGTTGCTTGTTTCTGCTGGGATATGAACACAGCTTGCAGAATTAGCTATACTTCTGTTGCTTTCAGTAGTAAGTTATTCCCTGGCTTCTTTCCACCACCACCCCAGGTACATTCTTTATATGATTTGGTATTGGGCAAGTTCCACTCTGTTGTGAAGAGAACCTTACTTGAATTCTGTTAAGATGTTAGTAGCCTCTGACTAGTAGTTCAATTTCAAGTTTGTCTGGTATGATGCATACCTCTGATTTCCTTTGTGGTGAGTACAGCAGCTATACTTTTAACAGTTCAGGGAACTTTTTCTGCATATTGTAGCATCTAGGTGAGCAATGAGCATTTGGTCCTAGCCTGGTCTAACGTATGAAGATCTTTCTAAGTAAAAATGTTAGAACATTTTTTTGTTGTCATTGTTTCGTGGAAACTAAGTCTGTATTTCATTTCTTCCTAATTCTAATGGAATTTCAGTAAAGGCAGTGTTGTGTACTGAATAGAATTAACTTTTCATATCAGGGTAATTATATTATTACATTCTTGAGTTAAAATATTTTATATTTACATCTTGCATCAGTTAATTCGTTTTCCTTTTTTTTTTTTTTTTTCCTTCTCTCTCCAGAGATGGCTATGTTAGACAAGGTAGAATTAGGATTTTCTCCATCTCCTCATAGTCTCAAAGCTCTAAAACAACCTTTCCTTATCTTGAGAGAATTTTACCATTGAGGATTTCTTGTTTTGAATGTTGCTGTTCTAGTATGACAGTTTGCAAATGTTTTTCTGTCATATCTTGGATTTTTGTCACTGTTGAAAAGGCATGGGATTTGAGGATTCTAGGGAGTCTTCTAAAGTTATAGATAAGTGTGTATTTATTTCAAAAGTACCTTGATCATGTTTGATGTCAAGTTTGCTTAATACAAGTAGTTACAATTTCTAAACATGTTCTCAGTCACTGTTTTAAATTTAGATGTATTGTTTAAAGCTTCTAGCACTAAAATCGTAAAACAGTCATATCTGTAAGAAGTTGTCCCTTTTGGCAGCAAGAATTGAGAGTCTAGGTATGATTTATTCTTAGTACTTGTAATATGGAAAGTAGTTTTCTGTCATTCACCTAGGTTTGCATTCATCCAGCTCCCTTTTGCTCCATCACTTTATTAAATCATCTTAGGTTTAACGATAGTAGTTCTGAGGTGCCTCTCTGTAGGGTTTTGTTTCTTCTGTATTTGGAGAATGAGGTGTCTGAATGTGCAGCTGACTGACTACAAAAGCCTAACTGCCTAATGTGCATATAACTAGGTTTATGTATTAGTTTATATTTTTGAATTGGCTTGGAACTGGCAATGGCAAGTACCTCAGAGGGTAAAGGTGCAAATCTAACTTACGGGAAATGAATGTGCGCAAATCCTTACAGGGGTTGTTATTTTAAGAGGTATGGGCCTCTTTATGAACTTTTTTTGACACATTTATTCAAAGGCCATATAGAGAAAGTGGATGCAAAGACTGCTTTCCTGTCTTGAATGCTCTGTCATACAAGTGATGTGACAGAGTTTAACTGCTTCAGTCAGCTTGCTCATGATCTCATATTAATCCTTACCCCAACGCTTTCCTGATTTTCCTTCCATTAAATCCTGTACACTTCTCAGTAGGACACACTTTTTTTTTTTTTCACCTCTGGTCATATCAATCATTTATTTTGTTACTAGCAGCATATTTGTCCTTCATGCAGGAAGCTAATATGCCAAGAACCCAAATCCATCTATAGACATCTTTTCCTCTGTAAACATGTGGTTATATATGTAAATACGGGCATAATATATTTATCGAATTTCAGAAAACTGCATGAGATTGGATTTAGGTTTTTCTTCCCCCAAATCATTAGAGAAGTCTGCATGAAAGGATAAAATATATATATATATGTATAAATACTGAATAGTGAGTCTTAAGCATTCTGAATCATAATTTATTGCTTCAGAATCTTATTGCTAAAAGATAGATGCTACCAATTCCTTTACTCTCCCTTTGGAGTTCTTATGGCTCACACTTCAAGCTGTTTTTCTGCAGTCACTAATGCTAGGTATTTCATCTTTTATAAAAGAAGTTTTCTGTGCAGTGGAATCTATTGTCTGCTTTTCTGTAATGCTTTTTCTTTGTATGTCATCACCCATCACAGTATTCCATTCATTAAGTGCTTTCGTAGTATTGTATTCAATCAATATATGCATTTATTTATGTAGCATGTATTTATATATGTGTATGTATTTATGTAGCATGATTTTTGCATTAGTGAGAAGAAATTGTGTTAATTGTAATATTTTACATGCTTATGGGCATCTTGTGTATGGTTTTAGTATTGAAGTAGTCTTTAAAATAAAAGGTGGCTTCACACTTGAAATATAAATGACCATTCTTGTAACGGCATGGTTCAGAGAACTGACTGTTTAGCAGTAGTAATGCATAGAAAAATAACCTTTAATTTTCCTTGATTGTTAAAGTTGTAATCTTGTGAGGGATTGTTATTAGTATTATTAGTGTTATAATTATTTTTATTTGGGATCTAAATTTCTTACAAAATAATTCTTATAAAGGATCAACATTTTGTTATGCATATAATATTACAAACCAAGCACATAAAAGAATTTCAGTCTGATCTTATAGTGCTCTCTTGATTAAAGTTTTAGCTGCTAGCATGTTTTAGATACCACAGTTGAACATACTTCCCATAACTAAAATATCCTTAATAGTGAATGTTTTTAATTTCCAGCAAAGTAAGCAGTTTGCCTATGGATTTGCAGAGGAAGTTAGAAAATTGGACTTCGGTGCTTTAACGCCTGGTTATGATTTTATGAAGACACTTAGGTACCTATCTTAATGCATCTGTAAGATCATTTATGTGTGAAGCTCTAAATAAAACTGGAGAGTGTGCATATTTTTTCTATACTGTGGGGCTCTCAGCACTTTTTCACCCCTAACATATTTGCAAGGTTTTAAAATAATGATGGTGAATAATGCTAAGCATTTTCATTACTCTAGGGAAGGCATAGAATCTATTCTTCCTCCTAATGTTCATGAGATAGCTGAGAACCGGCTTTATGTGTCAGTCACTAACACCAGAAACGGGGAAAATCATTTGGTTTCAAATTTTGCCTCCAGGGAGGACCTCATTAAGGTAATGATGTTGAATATTGCTGCTTTAAATAAAAATGCTTCAGTTTCCTCAAGACTTAGGAGAATGTTATTAGCTTTACAATAAATCACTATTTTACTCAAATAGTCACACTGTCAGTGGTGCTACAACCATAACATAAATGATGGAAGCAGAATTCCATCCTACAGTTTCACAAATTCCACTGCAAGTTATTTTGGTGTTTGTGTTTCTTTCATTTGTCTTTAAAGTGCTACCTAGTAGGCAAAGTGTGTTTAAAAAGCAAAAGGGTAACTAATGGTTACAGTAGATGAGAGTAAAACAGATAATCTCAAAATTTTGTAGCAACTTGCTGTCTTTTTGCATCTCGTCATTGATACCATTTATACTTTAATTCATCACGAAAGTGAAGGAAAGGTTACTGAAAATCCAACACTTTCTACAGGTCCTTGTGGGGAATAGATATAATATAATGTTAAATACCATATATAAACTGTATTTTAACTGTCACTGGAAAGCATATCTTTTACTGGTCGTCTCTTCTTTTGAATGTCACTTTTAAAATCTGGATCAGGATTGTATACATAATCTGATATGAAATGGTAGGAGGAATTCAGATGCATGTAAAGCAAATATTCTTTCTAGTAATTGACTATACCTTAGTGGAGGATATCATAAGATATAGCAGAATAAAGGAGGAAATAGAATAAGAAGGAATTCCTTCTTTCCCTACTCTTGTGGATGGGAAAAGATAAGAGTAAATAAGATCTTCTTTATAATTAACACTTTGGGAAAAAAGAGCATACTCGGTAACAAAATCTCAATGCATGTAAATTTATGCATTGCAAAACTAATGTATTGACTGATTACTGCTATATTATTTAATATGGGTATACATGCATGAAAATACGTATGGTTCGGAATTACTTTGCTGCGTTTTCTTCACTTTTTTTTTTCTCTATTCTTTCTCATTTATTTTCTGTAGGTCCTGCTGGCAAGTAGTTTTGTACCAGTGTATGCAGGAATTAAACCAGTGGAATATAAAGGAGAGGTAATTTTTCATTAAGTGTAACTACAAACTTTTTTGTGAGAGAGTATTTTTCATTTATGATGCAATTATATGATCTTAAGGGAAGACAACTGCAGTACTATATTTATTAGAATAGTTATTGTTTCTGTTGATACTGTAGATTAACACCATGAAAAAGGTAACATGAGTTTGTTCATGGGTTGTTTCAAAAAATGTGGGTTCTGAGACTGAGATGATCTCTGTGCATGAAGCTGTTTCCTTAATGTCTTAGTAAAGATGCTTCTCATGACAAGCTGTGTTACCAACTCTAAAATGCTTTTTGAAATTTAAAGGATCAACAATCTGCTTTTCTGTTTAATGGAAAGAATGGTAAGGAAGGTCTTGGCAGATTGGACACTGCTGGAGTATGTGTGCTTGTTTACATATGTGTTGTTCTCATGGTCTGTACAGAATTACATGCTTGCCAGGCACTTTCAAATCTCTTACCTTTGGACAAGCATTAAAGAATAAACTTTTTTCCTATAACACACAGTTACGAAGTTTTCAGAGGTGTACAGTACTATAAGAAAACCTTTTCACAGTTGCCTGTACTTGATTTATCTTCAAGAATATTTTTGTCTTTCTTCCATAAATATATTAATACTTCAAGACTAATTTTGACTGTTTAGTATGTTTGTAATAACTAGAAAGATGAAAATAGCCATTTCTTTCTTTCTGAGAAATACTACATGGTACTTTTCCCTTTACTCCCTCATACATATCCACATGATGTCTTTAGAACATCTATAATCCTCACAGCAACCCTGCAAAGAAGAAACATCTCCAAAACAATATGTATTTGTTTGTAGCAAGAGGGAGTTGGAGTTTGTTATGTCAAAGTTTGCCAGCTTTAGAATTATGTGTACAGCAATATATATCAGCTAAAATGTTGGAAGGATTTAAATCAGTATTGCCTGACAGTTGCTTGCAGCTTCCCATGATCTGATTGGAGTCTTTGTATGTTGTTTGTGCATTGTAGTGGTCATGCATGGATGTTTGGGTTCATTCTGCCATTAGTTAAAGGGAAGAAATGACATTGTTAAATTTCTTGTGTTCTTCTTTCAATTAAGAAATTGAAAAGATGCTTTGGAGTTTTGTCCAAAGCTCATCTAAAACTCATTTTATTAGATGAACTCTGCTATTATGGTTTGCAGAGTATTGCAGTATTTACTGGAACACCTACAGCTTCTTCCTAGTGCACACTTCTCATTCCTGCCTAACTTAATTCTTTGCATTCAAAAGTGAAATCAATGGATGTTTTTTTGCAGAAACTGGTTATTCTGTTACTTGAAAGCTTGTTTGTCATTCCCAAAGCTTCTTACTACTCTCTGTGAGATTAAAAAAAAAAGTATTTTTTGGGAATGAGGTTGTTTTCATTTATTGTTACTTGTTGTGATTAGTTCTGCATGTCTTCACTGACTTTTCTCATACTCTGTAAAACATTGCATTGGTGGTTTGTTTTTTTTTTGTGTTTTTTTTTTTTTCTGTTAAATGGATATGGCTTCCATTCTCTTAGTCCACAGCACTTAGAGCAGGGTGGGAACTTAGGATCTCTCTTGCAATAGTAATGAGTTTATGTGAGTGGGTACTGGAGGCCCTAAAGCATTCAGTATAGAGCCAGATATGTGACATGTAGCCTCCTGATCTAGGCATTGTCAGCACTGAAATCAGTAAGATGGACTGGATATTCATTTGACTCTGTGAGGTCACCTGTCCTATTAGCGTATTCCAAGTTTTATGGAAGCTGTACTGTAAAAGGCCAGTGTTCAGTCTGTCTGCATTTACACTAGTTTCAGTTATTCCTTAGGTGGTATTCCAGGGCAGCATGGAGTCAAGGTTACTGTCTGCTAGCTACTGAAGTCTGCCGGCCTTATATGTGCTTCAGAACAGTTAATGTGCATCTTCTCTGTGCTACATATGTCACTTGCATACATATTACCAGGTCATTTGGGAGCATTTTCAAAATGTAATTCAGTATGATATTCAGGTGTATGATGCATGGTAAGTAAGGGAGTATGGTGCACTTCTGCTGGAATGGTATCAAATAATAGCCAAATTTTTTGATAGCTTGTCCATACAACCTAGGGTAAACTGCTCGCAACAGTGTTCTTTTTAGGAAGAATACTTTTTGGGAAGCATTTGGCTTGCACTGAAATGGAATTTGGGTGTGGTCCGTGTAAAGACCAGGCTTGTGCCCCTAGACTGCCTCTAGACACAAAATATCACAGAATCACAATCCTAGAATGCTTTGGGTTAGAAAGGACCTTAAAGGTCATCTAGTTCCAACCTTCCTGCCATGGGCAGGGACAGTTCCCACTATACCACATTGCTCAAAGTCCCATCCAGCCTGGTCTTGAACACTGCCAGGGATGGGGCATCCACAGCTTCTCTGGGCAGCCTGTTCTGGTGCCTCGCCACCTTCATAGTGAGGAATTTCTTCCTAATATCTAACCTAAATTTACCCTCCTTCAGTTTAAAGCCATTACCTCTTGTTCTATAGCTATTTGCTCATATAAAAAGTCCCTCTCCAGGTTAATTGTAGGTAAAGCTACTGGAAAGCTGCTGTAAGGTCTCCCCTGAGCCTTCTCTAGGCTGAAGAACCCCATCTCTCTCAGCCTCTCTGCACAGGAGAGGTGCTCCAGCACATCATCTTTGTGGCCCTTCTCCGGACTTGCTCCAACAGGTCCAAGTCCTTCCTGTGTTGTGGGCCCCAGAGCTGAACGCAGTACTGCAGGTGGGCTCTCACGGGAACAGAGTAGAGGGGGAGTATCGCCTCCTTAAACCTGCTGGTTATGCTCCTTTTGATGCAGCCCATGATGTGGTTGGCTTTCTGGGCTACAAGTGCAACACTGCTCATGTTAAGCTTCTTGTCAACCAGTATCCCCAAGTCTTTCATATGTGGGACTCTGCAAGAATTCGGTTGGTTGCTTTTGTTTTTCCTTCCTCATTCTTTGCTATACTCAGCTTCTTTAGCAGACTTGTTATCTGCTCCCTCTTATGTGCTATAGTTGTTCAGCTCTTTTCCACCTTTACCTTCAGCTTTCCAGCTATTGCTGTCTTGTATTGTATATGTAAGAATACAAGAGGCTCTGGGAGAAGAGAGGAGTCATTTTTGGTTTAGTTTCTGCAATCGCTTTACTTGAACATACATGTTGTCCAGCTCCTAATTTGCATCAGAGTAATATTTTAGAGGAGTATATGTTTCACGATATGTTTCATGTGTAATATTATTATCTGATGTTATCATGTATGTGTTGCAAAAAAATTCTGCCTGGGGCATTTTGTTGCTAGGTTAACAAGACTTATCAGTAGCTTGATAAATACCTCATGTATTTACACATAATGTCAAATGCTCATTAATGAAACACTCTGTGTGTACTTTGTCAGGTCTTTGATTTTTATGTATTATACACAAGTTATTAACAGTATTCCGAGAAGGAATCTTGTAAGTTTTCTTAAGGGTGGGGTGGAGGAGGGACAGGAAGGATGAAGTATTCAGTCATGATCATACTGTCCTAAGGTTACTTTTAAAATATTTCTGTTTCCCAATAGAGGTGGGTTGATGGTGGCATTACCAATGGCCTTCCTATCTTGCCTTTTGGAAGAACTGTGACAATTTCTCCTTTCAGTGGTCGTTTAGATATATGTCCACAAGATAAAGGACATGTGGATCTTTATATTAAATATGCAAAACAAGATATAATGGTGAGTTGCTTGTTTGTTAAATAAATTCATAAGAAGAAAAAGTAGTTGTGCAGTTAAGGCTATGCTTATTTTTAAGTGTCTGGTTTGTGCCTATATATCAACTTAAGTAGTATTTTGGCATTTTCTGGTTTGCAAATGGAGGGTAAACTTTTTCTTAAATACAAGGGAAGGAAAATGTAGAATAAAGAAGAAAGGTTGAAAAACATTGATCTAGTATGAAATTGAGCAAATTATCACAAGCTTTTAAATGTAAATAATCTAGGCTTGCTTTAAGTGTCAGCTGGTTTTGGCTAAGCAGAGTGTTTATAGGACTTCTGTAGAATACCTTGGAGAGAGAAATGCCAGAACAGCCCTTCATGCTTATTGAAATCAGCTGCTCTAACTGAATTTAAAATACAAGTTTAAGTTGTACATTTGAAATGGTATGCAATGACTTGTCACTTCATTGCTCAAGAAAGCTTGTGAACATTTGTGACCACAGTGCTTTCTCAGAAGTCAGATGTTATAGAAACATTTCTGCATACTGAAATGTAAGCTAAGACTGATTTTTATGATTTTTATGCCCTCCTTTTCATCATTGACATTTCTGTCTTTGCAAGGTTCTTCTCATAAACTTTAACCTCAGTCTTGCTTCCTTTGACATGATGAAAGAAAATATTGAATAGCAGTAGACCTAGCTGTCAAAAAAATCCCATTGAAAGAGAAATAAAGATTAACAAAAAATGGTACTTTATTTTTTTTAGTTTCTTTTAGACAGTTCTTACCATGTTTTCTTAATTTGAGTAAAATTAGTGTTATGTAATGCAATACTAAAATAGACCAATTTCTGAATCTTTATAATGTTTCACAGATTTTAAGCATAGCAATACTTGGTAAATGGTCATAAGGTATGATTACTGATTTCATATATATTTAAATAATATGCAATCGGTTACTGTATATTTCTTAGTCATGATTTGTATCTAAACTCTAGTGCAGCTAGAGGAGGAAAAATGAGCTGGAGTTTAGGTTATTTTAGAGACAAAAAGTTAATTGCAGATTTACATTGCTTCTAAGGTCGTGCAGGTGCAGACTTGTGAGGAAACTTGGGCAACATTTTAAACTATTCCATTCAAAGCACCTTTAGCTTTTAGAGCTGTAAAAATGTGCACTAAGAGGTTTTTTTGTTTTGTTTTTTTTTTAGCAATTTAATTTGCATAAAATGAAGAGTTGTATATTTTAATTTGTCGGTACTGGAATGTGAACAGTTTTGTGTCTCCTCAAACCTCCTCCATCTATTAGTGCAGAATTTGAATAATTGCTTACTTCAAATAGTGAAGATTATTTTGATACTGTTTTGTAGAATTGCATATAATAAAGTCTTTAGCTAAAGTATTAATAAATTAAATGAACATTAGTTTTAATTTAATTACACCTGTAGTTAAGAACAAAGTTTTGAAATCTTTTTACACCATCAAAATGACCACTTGACATGCTGAGTAGTTCTTAATTTGTTGCTGATACAAGCTACATTTATACTCATATGTTAAACATTGCTTGGGAATGTTCCCAAGAATGTGGTTGTTTGCACTAGTAAACTGTCAAAATATTTCCTTGCACAAGTTTAGCATGTGCCAGGACCACTCTGCCAGACACTTCAGGAATGATTCCAAAGTCAAAATGTTTCAGAAACTTTGGGCAGTTTTACAGGCATGCAGTCTGTCTTGGATGCTGTGAGTTTACTAGCGTTTATTCAGACCCTAAGTGCCAGTTTGTCTTTGCTCTCAGCAGTGTACCTGGACATGGTTAATTCACTAGTGTAGACATAGCCATTCTGGACTTTTGTTTTTACATATGCTGCATGAAACATGACAGAACAGATAGCAACACAGTCAAGTCTAGAGTTGCTTTAATAAACTAATTTATAGCTTCTCGCTCTGTTGCAGCTGTCTCTGGCCAACCTAGTAAGACTTAATCAAGCTTTTTTCCCACCAAACCAGGAGAAAATGGAGTCGTTGTACCAAAATGGATTTGATGACGCTGTTCATTTTTTACTGAAAGAAAACTGGTTTGAGTAGATGCAACACAGAAAATTAACAAAACCTGATGGCTGTCAAAACAATTCCTACAGAATCTCAGGAATTGCTGTCCCAATTCCTGTTTGCAAAAATAAAAATCACAATGGCATTGCATCTGATTCTGCAGAGAAAGTACTGGTTGTGTTCCAAAGACCTGTATAAATATGTCAAAATCAGGAATTGTACTTGCCTGGTAATTGTCTTGTTTTGAGGAGATTCAAGCTTAGATCCATTTTGCTTCAGCTGAAGACTTGAGTTTGGGAACTATGAAAAATTACGATCTGTATTGTTCACTTGATTTAATAGTTGTGCGTGCTAATTGCATGCTTGTGATATTGCTGATCCAGTACATACTTTGCAGTATTGTAAAGGACTTGAATGCTTAGCACTAGCCAGAAGAAATAAAACATTTGCACTAACTCTGTTTTTTTTTTTTTTAAATATTAAAAAGTTATTGGCTTTTTCAGTGAATGCGGTCCTCTAAAATTTTAAATACTAATTGAAATTTGTAACAGAATTGTAATGTTTGAATATAAAAAGTCTTGTAAAAAAGGGTATAAGAAATTGTTATTATGTTTTCTTTGCTAAAATTAAATAAATATATTTTCTTGGAATTTTTGTCAAGAGTTCATTTATAAATTTCTTGGCATGCTGTAACAATCTGAGTATCTGAAAAAAAAAAGCCCCTCCCAACCAAACCAGTCTACTGGAGAGAAGCGAGTCAGCAGTAATGAACTCAGACTCATATATCTTGTTTACCATTCACCTTGCATGTTCAGGATTTTCAGTCTTAATGCCTTAATGCTAAAATCCACAGCTGTTTACTTAGAAACAAACTGTTTCCTTTTTAAGTGGGCTTTTGAAGTTTATTCTTTAAAGAGATTGAATTAAACATGTATGAAATTAGAGAATTCCTCTAGAATAAAATCTACAGAGTTGAAAAATAAGATTACAAAAATTCTGCTACAGCTGTTTGAAAGCCTCTTCAGCACATAACCACTGTATTTATATATAGATTGCATCAGATTAGGATTCATGTGGCAGGTAGCAAATCCTTTTGTTACTGTTTTAGATAATGAAAAAATAAGAAAAAAAAAAACAAAGAACCAACCCCCCAACACTGATGTAAAGAACCTTACTTTCACTTTAGAGCAGCAAATCTCTCTCACGACATGAGGTTCTTTAGCGAAAACACTGTATCCTGCACAATTTCTAGATCTGTGGGACAGCATTTTTCATGTAAAACTGAAGTAAGTTACCTTATGTGCTACCAAGGCACCTGTGCCTGGCTCACTTGCATGCTCGTTTATACAGAGGGTAATGCTCAGTATGACTAGAAATACAAAATAATACTGTTAAGAAATTTTCTTCTTTGACACTGATCTGCTACGGTCTGGGTCTCTGATTCAATGGTAATACCTGTTTTGGCATTCTGGTGGAGACTTGAAGCCGCTCTTTTTTACTTTGTGTTCTGGAGGCTTGGAGCTACTGACTGGCTTTCAGAAACAGCATGTATCTTCTGGTCAGTTACCTCTCTGAGCAATAATGTCACCAGATATATATGTAGTGAGCCTGTACAAAGCTTGTTTTTCTAGATGTGGGTTTTTAAAAGATGCTTTTAAAGCAGAAGGTTATTAAATGCAAAGTTCATTTGTTGATGCATGTAGCTTTTGAGCATCGACCCTGTCATAGTTTGCTATGTTCTTTAACTCATAAAAATCTGACTTTTTTCAGTATATATTAATATTATTCACAAGAATGTAAGCTTTATCATGTTTACTGAGCCCTAAGAGCCACGGGTAACATTATGTGCTTTAGAAACTGACCTTTTTATGTAAATGATAGGATGGTATAAGATGTTTCAGGAATAAAATCATATTAATGAAGATAGTGGAAGTGTTCACTGTGGTAAAGTGGATTTTTTTAATGTTGGAGCACAAAAGTTCAATGAGAAGAAAAATCTATTTGGTCACCACACTGGTGTACAGAGTGAGTACTGCTGCACGCATAGCAAGACTTGAGATTTTTCAGTTACCACTAGTTTATAAATGTGTTTTGATTGGGTATGACCTACCCAAAGCCTGTTTTCTCCAAGTTGTTCAACTGGTCCTAATGAAACATAGGAAAGCACATTCAGAAATGCATTATTTTCAGCCAACTATGTTTAAATCCATGTTGCTTTTGTGAAAAAATTTAGCTTGTTTGAAAAGGGGCAGTTTTCCTGATCAGTTAACATATTTGGAAAATATCAGCCAAAGGTAATTCAGGATGATAGTCACAGTCTCTTTTTTTTTCATGTAAAAAGCTGAGGCTGCTACTAAACAGTCAGGTTTTGGGAACAGCAACCATTTTATTCTCTTTCCTCCAATCCCTCCACTGTATCACCTTGAAAATATCAGGTGTGAAGTTTAAAGGAAACCCTTTTTTTTCCGAATAAAATTAGCATTTTTACAACAGAGACATAACCTTATTAAAGGTAATTATGCTTCCTAGTTTAGTCTTGCTAATTGTCTGAATTAGTTGTGATTTCTTCCTATCTTTGTAAACTTCAAAGCCTCCTAATTCAGTTTTGTGTTTAAGTCTGTATTTACTGACTCACTATTGCAATGTTTGAGTTTGGAGATTTCTTTTTCGAAATCTCTTAACTTCCAAGTGCATTTTCCATATCTGAATGTTGGCAATGTTGGGATGCTGGATTTTTTTTTTTCCAAAACCATTTTAGAGTAGAGACCTGTAGGTGTGGGGAATGTTGTTTCCAGTTCTACAGCATGTAAGTGCCACTCACTTTTGCTGGACAAGTGAGTAACCAAGTAATGTTTGCAAAGATGGCTTCTAGGTTAAGAAGGCCAACAAGTACCTTTACTTATGTCAGTCTGTTTCATGGGAAAAGATCTGATCCTTTTTAGATAGTCTCCTAAGTATTGTCATCTGTATTAGTATTAACCCTATCCATACGCCATCCCAGCATTCCTAATTGGAATACAGATGGCTGTACTTGTCCCTAACAAAAAAAAAAAAACAAAACCCAAACCAAAAAACACACCAAAACAAACCTGTTTAAAATCTTTGCTCTATATAGTCTTACTGGGCAACTGTACATTTTGATTGGTCAAATATTTTTCTACTTAAAAGTGAAACAGAAATCTAACAAGATCAGAGTCTCTTAGAATTTGTTTTCTATTAAATGTCATATTCTTCAAGAAGTGAATATTAACCTTTCTGAATAGAGAACGTTCCAGGGGGTTTAGCACTTTGATCTAGATCTTTCCTGGCTAATTATGCTGACTAATAGCTGGAATTTTCTGTTAGAACGTCATAAATCAGTTCTTCTGAAAAGATCCTAGCGAGCTTGCTTAAGTTTCTTACAAAAGCATAAGGTAGTCCTCTTTCAAAAAGTCTTAATACATGAAGTTGAAAATTGGTTAATGATCTCTTTTGTCAAAACAAAATTAAATATGAGTGTATAATTTTAAGAATACTTCTCAAATAGACTCTGTTGTTTCTTTTCTTAGAGGTGCTTTAGGTGTAATCCTGTGGATGGAAGCAGAACCCGCACTTTGTCAGAGTATCATCTTCTCATGGACTTGCCACACAAATAGGCTGCGTAACTTTTTAAAAAATACTTTAATAATAATCTTAAAAGACTGAAGGAAATTAAACTTGCTAAAGCTCATACCTACTTTGTACCATTATGCAGTTAATAAGCGATTGCAATGAAGATAATTGCAAAAAATACTTTTATTTTTAAAAAGTGCCTTTTCTGCTGAAACACTACTAGCTCTGATGGCTGTATTGCCTGGGAGACCACTGGGTTTTTTGTTGTTTTTTTTTGTTTAACTCAGATTTCACAAATTCTATTGAAAATCATTAGTACAGGCACAAGAAGATGAGATAGGATAAGGTATTGTTTTATCCTGAGGGTGAACATATTTTTAAGATGAAGCACAATGTTAATATATCTGTTCTGATAATACTACTGAAGATTGTTAAGTATATGCTAAGGTATTTTTTTCTCATTTAAATATCCCATACAGAATTATATTTAAGCAGGCAAGATCTACAAATCCTCAGATGATTCTATGTGCTCCAGTCCACTTATTGTCCTTATGGCCCTCCTCTGGACTTCCTCCAAGCTGCCATAAAAAAACATGACCTTGCTGACTGCAACATAACAAATAATGTCTTTTTATTATCCTTGTGCTGTTGGTGTTAGGCACTGGAACACACTACCTATTACTTGTATTCAGTCCCCAGAACTTTCTGAATATTTAACCTTTCAGAATGGAACTTCTTCCAACTTCTTTGCAAACACTATGTTGAAAATAGATCAAGTGTTTCTGAGAAACGTGAAAAAGTGCAGAAAACATGTTGACCTTCATTTGAAGGTCCATTTATCTGAACTGGAGGCAGTTTTATAAAGTGGAAAGAAAACAGCCCTATTTGAGTATCTGAGTTATCTGACTGAGATGCTTCTTAAATGTCCTTCTAGTTTCGTCTGCTAGATTAGGTATGAATTCTTGCGATTTTTGCCAAAATGCCAGAGCTGGAAGCTTTCACTGCAGTCATTGACCTCTGTGTGCTTCTTATACTTTAAGGTGACTTTGATTCAGTGACTGCTGCCTTCAGTTCTCTTCACAGAACTGCATCTTTGGCTCAGATGGACGTCAAGCCTTGTATTTTAAAGGGTGGTGTCCTGGGTTCAGCAGTAGCAGTCATTTTTCCCCTTCTTGGTAGCTGGTGCAGTGCAGTGTTTTGACTTTCAGCTCGGGAACAGAGCTGATAACAAGGATGTTTTGGTTTGGCCAAGGACTTTGTGAGCCTCATGCTCTGCCAGGGAGGAGGGGAAGCCAGGAGGAAGCAGAGACAGGACACCTGACCCAAACTGACCAAAGAGGTATTCCATACCACAGCACGTCATGCCCAGGATGTAACTGGGAGTTAGCCGGAAGGGCTGGGAGACTGCAGGGTTGGAGGAGGTATCGGTCAGAGCTTGGTGGGGCTGGGGGGGCGAGTTATCGGTCGGCTGGTGGTGAGATGATGTATTCTCTTCCCTTGTTATTTCCTTTATCATTATTATCATTGGTGGTAGCAGTAGTGATTTGTGTTATACCTTAGTTACTAAACTGTTCTTATCTCAACCCGTGGGAGTTGCATTCTTTTTGATTCTCCTCTCCGTCCCTCCGAGAGCAGGGGGAGGGCAAGAAAGGGGGGGAGGTGAGCGAACGAGTTACCTGACTGGGTTTAAACCACAACAGTTTTTTTTTGGCGCCCAACGTGGGGCTCGAAGGGTTGAGATAACGACAGATTTGACTGGATTAATAGTCACTCATCGCAATGACGATTTATTGGCTCTCAGAGTTGTTTCTCTTGATCTCACAGCTTCAGAATGTTGTAACTTACGTAGAGCCGGTATTTGCTGTGTTAGTGT